TCTTTGATTTTTGGTTTTACCGATTAGATCAGGGGTGTCAAACTCAATTTCATTGAGGGCCGCATCAGCATTGTGGTTGCCCACGGGGGGGGTGTGTGTGGCCAGGGTGGGTGTGGCCTACTGGGTGGGCGTGGATGGAGTGGGTGTGGCCTACTGGGTGGGCATGGCCAGCTCTACATCGTTCGCGTCAAGGGTTCCTGTGGGGGCCTGGGCAGGAGTGGGACAGATCTGAGGGTCTCTGGCAGAAGGGGGTGGGACCGGGGCAAGCGCCAAGGCATGGTCCATTTCTTCATTCCTCATAAAGGGGGACACTTCCCCAGCATGCACCCAGCGGGCGGGGCCAACACAACAGGGGCCGGTCCCTTGCTGTTTCCAGACGGCCTTGTGGAGCTAAGACTGAATGCGTTTCAGCATAGATGGCCACCACAAAATTGTACGTTGGCTCCCAGCCAGCCTGGGCCAGGGTCAAGGCAGCAGGGGCCGTTCCCTCACTGTTTCCAGGATGGCTTCGCAGGCCACATGAAACCACTTTGCGGGCCGCATCCGGCCCCCGGGCCTTGTGTTTGACATGTCTGGATTAGATAGATTAGTTGGTAGAGAAATGGCTGGTTTATACTACTATGTAAAAGTAAAAAGTTGAGGTTAGATGTTACTCTCTTATTTGACTGCACCAAAGGGAGCAGGAAGTCAACTCTCTTTTTTTTCTTTTTCCCTTCTTTTCTGCACTCTTCCCTTCCCCTCTACCTCCCCTGTTTTTCCTACTCTTTGTTTTTGTATTTTTTTGTATCTTATACTATAAACAAATAAAATAAAAAAATGAAATTATAAATGTATTAAATTCATAAATGCACACGTATCGCATGATTATTATTATTATTTTACAAAATTGAAGTTGCTTCCTATTTTCTCCAGTTCTAAGCTAGACTTGGGCACTCTCCCTTTTACTGTCCCAGATGAATCATTCTTAGTTAAGTAGCTACTAAGAAAGTGCCAGATAGGCTGGAAGGAGGCGTCAAGAGAGGCTGTAGCTTGGAATCCTTGCACAGCCATAAGCGGCATAAGCTTGATGTGCCTCAAGATCCATGAAGCCTTTGTCTGGTCATTCTCAAGGGAAGGCAAAGCAATCTGGGCAGATTCTTGTAATATAGGCGGTAGAAAATAAAGTTACTGACATTTGTTATTCATGATGGTGAGATGCTGAGACTTTAGAAAGAGTACGGAGAAGAGCAACAAAGTTGATTAGGGGACTGGAGGTTAAAGCATATAAGGAACGGTTGCTGGAATTAGGTATGTCTAATTTAATGAAGAGAAGGACGAGGGGGGACATGATAGCAGTGCTTCAATATCTCATGGGTTGCCACAAAGAAGAGGGAGTCAAGCTATTCTCCAAAGCACCCAAAGGCAGGACAAGAAGCAACGGACGAAAACTCACCAAGGAGAGAAGCAACCTAGAACTAAGGAGAAACTTCCTGTGAGTTAGAACAATTAATCAGTGGAACAATTTGCCTCCAGAAGTTGTGGGTTCTCCAACACTGGAGGTTTTTAAGAAGAGACTGGACAGCCACTTGTCTGAAATGGTAGAGGGTCTCCTGCCTGAGCAGGGGGTTGGACTAGATGACTCCGAGGTCCTATTATTATTATTATTATTATTATTATTATTATTATTATTATTATTATTATCATCATCATCATCATCATCATGAATAGCTCTGGTTGATTGAATCAAATACACATCTTAATAGAGGCTTGGATAAATGTTTTCCATAATGGTCCAGTAATAAATTGTAGTTTATCCAAGGGCAATCTCGTAATCTTTTGAATCTCATCGGTCCATCTAATCTCTTCTCTTTTCTTTTTTCCTACTTGCCTCAATCTTGCTAGGCAGAGATTTTTTTTCAAGCTCATCCTTTATCTCAATCTTATGTGCAAGTGTTTGAGTTTCTGCTTCCATGTTGGTTCTCTGACAGTCCACGGTATTCTTGATAATTCTCAGCAAATCCATCATTTAAAGTATCTTCTTCTTTTTCAATAAGTTTCTTAGTGCAAAAGACATGTAGCGGGGAACCAATTTTGGTTTGTTTGTTTGGGGGCAGCGAGAATAGGAAAACAGTCCCACAGTTCTGTTTGAAAGGCTGTTTGCGGAGAAAAGAGTCTTTCTTTCTTTCTGTTGTTTTTGCTCAGCACATACTCATATTTGTGTTGACCCTGGGTTGATATTTCTTGCTTTGCAGCTGTTGGGATTGTGAAGTTTGTTTCTAATTCTATTCTACTGAACAGACAGCGTACATACTTTGTAACTGACCTGTAAATAGGCATTCACAGATGATAAAAGAAGCCACAGGGGAAAAAAATGATCTGGAGGTGCTAATAATTATAAACACTTGCTGAAAAGCAGAGTGTCTGAAAATTAGCTCCTATTTGAGAGACACTTTTTGCCTAGTGAATTTAACCCTTTAAATGCTTAACAGGATCCTTCCTTCCTTCCTTCCTTCCTTCCTTCCTTCCTTCCTTCCTTCCTTCCTTCCTTCCTTCCTTCCTTCCTTCCTTCCTCCCTCCCTCCCTCCCTCCTTCCCGCCCTCCCTTCATATCCCTCCCTGCCTCCCATCCTTCCTTCCTGTCTTCTCCCCCTTCCCTTCCTATCCCTCCCTCCCTTCCTTTTCTTCTCCCCTTCCCTCTCCTTCCTTCCTTTCTTCCTATCCCTCCCTCCCTCCCTTTTCTTCTCCACTTTCCCTTCCCTTCCATCTCCTTCCTTCCTTCCTTCCTTCCTTCCTTCCTTCCTTCCTTCCTTCCTTCCTTCCTTCCTTCCTTCTTTGCATTTGTGTCTTTTCTGCGAGAGAATGATTGGTATATACAGGTGGGCAATCTACAAATTTGATAAAAGGTACATTATAGTGCAATAATTTATTTTCAACAGTGGGATTCTTTCCCCACCCTATCTACTTATTCTTGGTAGAACAAGAGTCTCATACATTTAGATCAGTGGTTCTCAACCTTTCTAATACTGCGACCCCATAATACAGTTCCCCATGTTGTGGTGACACCCAACCACTTATACATCACCGGGTGCCAGGGGCATGGCCAAAGAAAAGGGGAAAAAATGGCGGACAGTCTTGTTTGGCGACCCCCGTGAAATGGTCGTTCGACCCCAAATGGGGTCCCGACCCACAGGTTGAGAACCACTGATTTAGATAGTCTTCTTTTTGACTGAATGAGGTAAATAGATAATAATGATTGTTTTGTGTGGGTAAACAATATTCTCTTTATACCTTTGCAATGGATTTGAAAAGCCGGTGTGTATGTATGTATGTATGTATGTATGTATGTATGTATGTGTGTATATATGTTTTCTGAGGTTTTCGCGGGTGTTTGTATGTAGGTCTTTGGTTGGAACACACCTCCATCCAATCAGAACACAGCCAAGCTCTCATCCAATCAGTTCATCCCCCACTGGCAGTTAAAAGGAAGAAACAGCTATGATCACACATTGCTCTTAGAAGCACGAAGCCGAAAACACCAGCCTGAAGATGACAAATGAGACTTCGTCGAAACGTCGCCAAGACACTTCCAATTTGACGCGGGAGAAAACCCGAATAACCAAAGACCTACACACACACACACACACACACACACACACACACACACACACGTGTGTGTGTGTGTGTGTGTGTGTGTGTGTGTGTGTGTTCTAAAATACTAAAAATGCGAATCCTGGCCATTATGCTAACAAATAAAAGAAAAACGAACACCAGGATATAATAAACCAGCCTGTTTAATATAAACAAGCCTGTGGTTAAGAAGAGTCACTAAGCTTTCGTCCGGCCAAAAAACTGCCGGCGTCATCAGAGTTAGAATAGCAGGAGATTGGGAAGGCATATAGCCTCCTGCCTCTGCGCCCGGTTCCTTGAGCGCGTCATCGGCCCATTGATTGTGTTAATCCTTATTGCGCTGAGTATATATATATATATACTTCCCTATCTATGCATATTAGTATAATTTAGGATTTCCTGATTATGGAAATCTGAAGGCAGAGATCTGCGGATGGAGTCAAAGCCTGACTGCTAAAAATAGCTGAGGAAGGGAAATTAAAAGACTTTTCACGTCTATGGCCATAACAACTTCCCATAATATATAAGTGTGGCTTAAGCACAAACGGAATGCTGAATACTCTAACAAATCCAAATGATTGCATTTTTATTTGGTTCGAAAAGAGAATTGCAGCAAAGATACATTTAGGAATGGCATGAGCTAGTAACGTGAAATTGGATCATACAGTTACCAGTGCACAAAATTGAGAAATTTTGTGAGACCCAGTTTGGTGCAGTGGTTAAGATCCCAACTGGGAGACTGTGAGTCTCATCTTAAGTCACTTAGCTGGGTGACCCTTGAGCCAGTCACTGGCTCTTGGCCCCGGGAAGGAGTCAAGGGCAAACCACTTCTGAGAGAGGGAAAAAAACTCTCACTAAGAAAACCGCAGGGACGATATTAAATCATCTACTTAATAACACAATATCTCCCCAAATATGTATTTTGGATATTATAGTTTGTTATGAAGAGAGAAAAGGGAAATTTTGGTTACCCAAAGTCTGAAAATTATAAATATCAAAGGTTAAATTGGAATATTGATAAGAAATTAAAAACTGAGTAAAAATCAATAACAGGAGATGGGTTGTTTATGAAGATTGAATGTAATTAAGAAATGTATCAGCTAAAAATGTATTGATAAATGTAATAATGATGTTCTTATTGAGCTGATGTAATTAGAAATGTACCAACCTGAACATGAGACAGTAATTGTTAAGGGAAAAAGAGAAGAAATATTTGATGTTGTAGCCTGAGATTTGCACTAAGATTCTGTTATTGAGCTATTGATTAACCCTGTCACCATGTTGCTTTTTAAATATTCAAATGTAAAATTGGAAAATTAATAAAATATTATAATAATAAAAAAACAGAAAACCGCAGGGACACTTATCCAGGCAAGTCTCTGAAAATCAGACACAATGGAAGGGAAAAAGAACGAAGAGAAGTCCTTCTGCCAATTGGCACAAGGTATCTGGAGCCAAAATATCTCCATGGATCAAAATAATTTTATTGAATTGTTTGCCTCCTTGTTCATTGATGAATTGTATCCAGGTAAATTGGCAGGCCGTCCAAATGTCAAGTGAATATCTTTGGAGATGGTTCGAAGAAAGCGCGTCCCACTGGAAGCAACATATCCCGATTTTCAAACTCCCGTATAATTTGAGAGGGTCTTGGGCCTTATTGATTGTGGTGCCTGGACAACAAAACGGTCTTGTTATGCAAGTGTACTGGCGTCAATCTTTCTGGGCTAACTTATGAAGTCCAGAATCCCAGAGGGCAAAGACACAGCGAAGCTTGGAATATCTGGTGAGTAGGAAGAGAGCAGGTTTTATACTTGGGCAGGAAAAACCAAAGGAACCAGGGTAAGACCTGGCTCAAAAACAGTAACTGTGAGAGGGACCTTGGAGTCCTGATGGACAATCACTTAACCATGAGCCAGCACTGTGCAAGTAGCAACCAAAAAAGCTAATATAATCCTGGGTTGTATAAACAGAGGCATAGAATCAAGATCACGCGAGGTATTAATACCGCTTTATAAAACCCTAGGGAGATCACACCTGGAATACGGCAGCCAATTTTGGTCACCATATCACAAAAAAGATGTTGAGTGTTTGGAAAAAATTCAGAGAAGAGCAACTAAGATGATCCAAGGCCTGGAGGCTAAAACATATGAAGAACGGCTGTGGAATTTGGGTTTGGCTATTCTAAAGAAAATAAGAAATGGGGAGACATGATAGCAGTGTTCCAGTATCTGAGGGGCTGCCACGAAGAAGAGGGGGTCATGTTATTCTCCAAAATCCCACAGGGCAGGACAAGAAACAATGGTTGGAAACTGATCAAGGAGAGAAGCAACCTGGAATTAAGGAGAAACTTCCTGACAGTGAGGACAATCAACCAGTGGAACAGCTTCAGAAATTGTGGGCGCTCCATCACTGGAGATTTTTAACAAGAGGCTAGACAGTCACTTGTCTGAGATAGTATAGGTCCTCCTGCTTGAGCAGGGGGCTGGAGTAGAAGACCTCCAAGGTCCCTTCCAGCTCTATTCTATTCTATTCTATTCTATTCTATTCTATTCTATTCTATTCTGTTCTGTTCTGTTCTGTTCTGTTCTGTTCTGTTCTGTTCTGTTCTGCTCTGCTCTGCTCCGCTCCGCTCTACTCTACTCTACTCCATTCCATTCCTTATTCTATTCTATTCTATTCTATTCTATTCTATTCTATTCTATTCTATTCTATTCTATTCTATTCTATTCTATTCCATACTTTCTACTCTACTCTATTCTATTCTATTCTACTCTACTCTACTCTACTCTATTCTGCTCTGCTCTGCTCTGCTCCGCTCCACTCCACTCCACTCCACTCCACTCCACTCCACTCCACTCCACTCCACTCCACTCCACTCCACTCCACTCTACTCTACTCTACTCTACTCCATTCCATTCCATTCCCTATTCTATTCTATTCTATTCTATTCTATTCTATTCTATTCTATTCTATTCTATTCTATACTTTCTACTCTACTCTACTCTACTCCGTTCCATTCCATTCCATTCCCTATTCTATTCTATTCTATTCTATTCTATTCTATACTTTCTACTCTACTGTACTGTACTCTACTCTACTCCACTCCGTTCCATTCCATTCCATTCCTTATTCTATTCTATTCTATTCTATTCTATTCTATTCTATTCTATTCTATTCTATTCTATTCTATTCTATTCTATTCCATACTTTCTACTCTACTCTACTCTACTCCACTCCACTCCACTCCTTATTCTATTCTATTCTGTTCTGTTCTATTCCATTCCATTCCATTCAGGTCGGACCCTCCCTAGCAATTTCACAGCATACAGATAGTCCTCCATTTATGAGCACAATGGAGCCCAAAGTGCCATTGTAACTTTGAATGGACTTACTGTTGTAAGTCAAGGACGAACTATAAGGTGTTAGAAAGGATTTGCTATTGGTAGAACAAGGAAAAGCACAGGCCTACTTGCCGGAAACCAACAGCTTTTCAATTTTTGTTTTTGTTTTGTTTGTTTGTTTAAAAAACCCTTTTAAAATTTGCAATCAGTGACTCAGTAACATGCATAATATTTTTTGAAAAGAAGCAGGTTGCCTGCCAGCAGTTTGCCGGAGGCTGAGCGGCTTTCCCTCCCCCCAACTTTAAGTAGATTGCCTTTTCAGCGCAGAAAAAAAATAAAAATTAAAAAATGATGGGCGTAACTGAGAGCAATCCGGAGGCATGAAGGAGATCAAAGCAATCTTTGCCTCAACAATGGAGCTGCGGCCTTGTGGAGGCTTCAATTTGCCCCGATAAACGTGAGGTAAGTTACAGTGCTGGGAAACAATTATGATTATAGGACTTCAAAAAAACCAGCAAGAAAGAAAAGAACATCCTCTTGCAATCCAATAAGTGGCTTTAAAGCAGATTTATAAGAATGATTAAGAATTACAAGGCCTTGGTAAGGCCACACTTGGAATACTGCATCCAGTTTTGGTCACCACGATGTAAAAAAGATGGTGAGACTCTAGAAAGACTACAGAGAAGAGCAACAAAAATGATTAGGGGACTGGAGGCTAAAACATATAAGGAATGGTTGCTGGAACTGGGTACGTATGTCTAGTTTAACGAAGAGAAGGACGAGGGGGGACATGATAGCAGTTTTTCTAATATCTCAGGGGCTGCCCCAAAGAAGAGGGAGTCAAGCTATTCTCCAAGGCGCCTGAAGGCAGGACAAGAAGCAACGGATGGAAACTCATCAAGGAGAGAAGCAACTTGGAACTAAGGAGAAACTTCCTGACAGTTAGAACAATTAATCAGTGGAACAACCTGCCTCCAGAAACGGTGAATGCTCCAACACTGGAAGCTTTTAAGAAGAGACTGGACAGCCATTTGTCTGAAATGGTATAGGGTTTCCTGCCTGAGCAGGGGGTTGGACCAAATGACCTCCAAGGTCCCTTCCAACTTTACTATTATTATTTTTATTTTTATTATTTTTATTTATATTATTATGGATCATCGCACAGTCAGCCAGATGTTCAGACTGGATTTGGCATTTTGTCTACCTATCGAGTCCTTACCCAGGACCTGGGATAGGCAGATGTGGATGTTTGATGGTATTACAGGTATCGTCGCAGGATGGAAGCAGTTCCTAGTAAGGCCGCCTTTTGCAATTGACTAATAGCGAATTTGTCAATGCCAATGATGTTTAAGTGGTGCTCCAGTTGTTGTTGTTGCTGTTGTTATTGTTGTTGTTATTATTATCATTATTATTATTATACATCGTAAGTAGTGTAGGAAGTCAGCACCCCTTCCCTCCCCGAGAAGGAAATATTTTGGGGGATATTAAAAAAAGACAGAATATTACATTTCCTCAAAGGAATGATGGAGAAAAATCTTAGGCAGAAACCAGCCCCCGAATCTTCTTCCTCCAGGCAGAGGCCAGCTTTTAGTCTAGTCGTAAGCAAAATGCCTTCAGCCACAGCCACAGAGAAGATTTGAGCTGATGGGATTAGAAAAACAAAGACTCCCAAGGACAGGAATATGATCCAGTGGTGGGATTCAGCTGGTTCGCACTACTTCAGCAGAACCAATAGATAATTTTTTGTTGCCCAGGCCCAGAATGGACTTCTGGAAGTGGCATCCGCACAAAGAACCGATTGTTCACCTATTTGAATCCCACCAATGCCTTGAAGACATAATAGGATTAACCCACCACCATTAGAATTCCAAAAGGGCACACTCAAGCAAAAGTCAAAGTACATGGCATAGGGACAGGAAGAACCTCAAATACAAAGTCCAAAGAAGGGATAAAAGCCCGCCTATCCCAACTCCATATTGTCAGCTGCCCCAGAACCCCATGCTGTTGGCTCTGTTCTTCAATAAACAGAACCTTCTTTCCTATGCAGCCTCCATTTTGTTTATTCCCGGCTTGGACTGGACCTGATGATTTTTCGTTCAACAGTAGACTAAAAGGAAAGAGGTCCCAACTTCTTGGTCACCACTAAAGATTTTTAGGAAGAGACTGGACAGCCATACAGTATATCCAGAATGGCCAAGGATCCTTCAAACTCTGCTATTCTGTATTCCACATCACTCTTAAGTTCAGAGATAATTGAGGGCAGCTGGAATAGAAGGGCCAAATCATTTGGCTCAAGGCCATATCAGTTTTTTAAAATAACAATTACAACAAAAGGAAACATAAACTTAGAGAATAACAAAGTTGGAAGGGACCCTGGAGGTCTTCTAGTCTAACCCCTTGCTCAAACAGGAGGCCCTATACTAGGGGTGTCAAACTCAATTTCATTGAGGACCGCATCAGCATTGTGGCTGCCCTCAGGGGGCCGGGTGGGTGTGGCCTAATGGGTGGGGGTGGCCAGCTCTACATCATTCGTGTCAAGGGTGCCTGTGGGGGCCTGGGCAGGAGTGGGACAGATCTGAGGGTCTCTGGCAGAAGGGCGTGGGACCAGGGCAAATGCCAAGGCATGGTCCACTGGAAGAGCTTCATTGTTCCTCTCAGGCCATGCGGGGGGGGGGGGGCAGGCTGGATGGTGGTGCGGGCTGCCCAGGCCCTGGGTAGCAGAGGTCAAATGCCCATCCTGACCCTTGAGCACTCACGGCACCAAGCCCAGCCCCACTTCCTCTAGGCTGCTGCTCAAGGTTCTCCTGGTTCCTCGCTGTTTCTAGACAGCTTTGTGGAGCTAAGACTGAATGCGTTTCAGCATAGATGGCCACCACAAAATTGTACGTTGGCTCCCGGCCAGCCTTTCTTTTGTTCTTATTCTGATGGTGCAGATGTCTTTTTTTTTTTTTTTTAAACCACTCACCTTCATAACTGATCAGAATCGTGTCCTATTCAATCTGGTTTTTCCCCTTTTGACCAGCCCTGAAGAATAGGAGGCCTACCGGCTTGCCTTTTAGTCATAAATCTTTCATCGGGGCCTGTATTTATTTATTTATTTGCTTTTCCAAGTCTTCTGCCAAACTAACGCCCTCCGTACTTAGGTTTTTGCCAGTGGGATTGGTTACTCTCTGGACAATTCTTCTTG